GTCCAATATCTAGTAAAGCAAATCTCATCAGTTGTTAAAGCCTGAGAATAATCAATCCTCTTTAGTTCAGGGCTCTGCCTTACTAGCTGCCTGGGGCAGTGGTCCACCTCTGTGGCTCTGCTGGGCTGAGTTACACCCCCCAGGCAAGGGGCTGCCCAGCAGGATGCACTCATCCTCAGGTCTTTGTTCAAAGCCTATCCAGCCTGTTAAAACCACCATGGTGGCCCAGAAGATCTCTGAATTGCCCTTGGGTCCTTTTCCCCCTTTCTTGAAGGAGAATGCACATTCACATCCTAATAGCTCTGTGACCCAATTCTATAGGATCTAAGAAGTCTGACTGCCTCCTTTTATTTCAACCCATGTCCATCCCCTTCAGTTCAAACTGGCTGTTTTCATTTTGTATAATCCACACCCATTTCTTTATTGATTGTCCAGCCACACCCATGGTGTTCTCGTTTGAATGTTTGTTTGTTTGTTTGTTTGTTTTTGCAAACCAGGCTAGTCGTTGTCTTAATGTTTAAGTTCTGGTTCCTTTTTATTTAATAGTTCTTCCTTCATTTCATCTGTCTCTTGCCTTATACTGTAAGCAACCAGGAGGAGGTACACTGCTTCTTGGATACTTTGCCTAAAATCTCCTGTGTTAAATATCTAATTGCACCGCTCCCAAGTTCTGCCTTCTAGAAGACAGAAGAGTACCAAAATATTTTAGCCAAGGTCTTTGCCACTTTATAACGAGGATCACCTTTCCTCTAGTTTCCACCAACATGTTCCTTATTTGCATCTGAGACCTCACTAGAATAGCCTGTAATGTCTGAATTTCTACAAACATTCCGTTCTTGAGTATTTATGCGTCCACTGCAGCATTGATCTTTCTCGGTCCTCACCATTCTAGCTCTCATATTGTAGTTCTAGCATATACCTCAAAATTCCCTCACCCAGTTCCAAAGCTGCTTCCACATTTTTATGTATTTATTACAGCAGTGCCCTACTTCTGAGTATCAGAATCTGTCTTCAAACAGATGTCTTCAAACAGACTCAGTCATCTCATTTCTGCAAATATGTCTAAAGGAAATGAAATCAGGATCTCAAAGAGCTTTCTGTATTCCCATGTTCACGGTAGCATTATTCACAATAGCTAAGACATGGAAACAACCTATGAATTCGGTTGAAATACATTGGATGGAGACATGGAAACTCAACAAATAAATGGGTAAGGAAGATGTTCCTCTCTCTCTCTTGCTCTCTCAATGGAGTATTATTCAGCCATGATAAAGAAACAAACCCTGCCATTTGTGACACGTTGGACCAATCTTGAGCATGAGGCTAAGTGAAACAGAGACAGACAAAAGTGTCATATTACTTAAAATGGAACCTTAAAAAGCTTAACCCATGGAAGCAGACAGTAGAGTGGTGGTTACCAGTGGTGGGGGGATGGCAAAAAGGGGAGATGTTGGTCAAAGGTACAAACTTTCAGTTATGAGTAAGTTCTGGGGATCTAATGGTACACCATAGTGACTGTAGCTAATAACTCTGTATTATGTGAAAGTTCTCAAGAGAGGAGATCTTAAATGTCTTCACCACAAGAAAGAAATGGTAAGTATGTGACAGGATGCTGGTGTCAGCTATGCAATGGCAGCCACCATTTGACAATATACAAGTATTGCAAATCGTCACATTGTACATCTTAAACTTTCACAATGTTATATGTCAGTTATATGTCAATAAAGCTAGAAAAACAAAACAAAATCTGTCTTAGCTTGGGCGTCCATAACAGAATGCTATAAATAACTGGTATTTATTTTCTCATAGTTTTGGAGGTTAGGAAATCCAAGATCAGGGTATCTGCCAGTTCAGTTACTGGTGAGGATTCTCTTCCTAGCTTGTCTGTCTTCCCACAGTGGCCTCCCATGGCCTTTCTTTGGTGCATGCTCATAGAAGGAGATATCTCTCTCTCTCTCTCTCTCTCTCTCTTCTCCTCCTTATAAAGTCACTAATGCTATTATGAGGCCCCCCCTTTCATGAATTTAACTCTAGCTATTTCCCAAGGGCCCCATCTCTAAATACAATCACACTGCAGATTAGGGCTTCAACATAGGAATGTTTGGGGCCTGTAAACATTCAGACTATAACAATATACGGTTCAAGTTTGGGTTGAGGCTTGGGCCAAAGCTCTTGGACTTTTGATGAGCAAGAAGATTAAAAAATGTAGGTAGTGTGTGAATTAAATAGAGTAATAGCTTTGTTATGGACCCCAATTATTATACCAAGGTTAACTAGCTTGGAGTGGAAAGGTGTGTAAGTCCTTATAATCTGCATTGTACAGAATGCTCTAGACTATTTGCAGAGTTAGTTCATTCCATCCGAGTTTTCACATGAAGAACTAAAACTACATACTCTATCTGGCCATACACAGTGGATGGCATTCCTGGCCACCTTATGCCTGGCAGGACTTGGCTTCATATGTCTGAAGGCAGTAGTATTGCTTAAGCAGAAAGAGGGTATAACTACTGCCAACTTCTCCTCTCTGATGTTATCAAAACCCGTTATTCTTGGTTCACCTTACTCACTTTCTTGGGAGGAACAAAACAAAAACTGACACAAAAACTGAGGACTCTTTAACTTCTAAAAACAGTGATTGCCAAGTATCTATGAAAATTAATGGGGCGCCTAAATGAGAAGTGTCAATGATCTTAGTACTAGTAGGGTGTATTGTTTTTTACTAAATGATCACGTTTTCCTTGGTTGTGGCTGAATTGCCTTCCAGGAAAAGAGGCTGCTAAGCTATTAAACTGTGCAGCGTGGCAAGGGGCCAAGTTTTAAAAACACCTCTTTGGCACATCTGTAACAGGCCTGGAGTATTGAAAGTCTCAGGTTCTCTGTTCACTTGGCCCAGAAGTCTGAAGCTGAGAGGCAGAATGAGATGTCAGGCACAGGCCCCAGGGATTCAGGATGAGTGGAAACTCCTGAGTGGAGTAAAGGGAGTAATGGTTTCAGTATTGCTTCCACATGTGGTGGGGGGCAGCTCAGCAGCTCTGGGCTAGGTCAGGCCTTCAAAGCTCGGATCCTCAGATGGGAATGGATGAAGGGTTCTTGGCATGGGTGAAGTGAGTGTCCAATCTAAGACTTGAGTGAAGTGAGCTTTGGGAAGCAAGAGCAATTTAAAAATGTCAATTCCAGTGGGGGAGGGTGGGGTTGGGTGCTGGGTGGTTCAGTTAGTTGAGTGTCTGACTTCAGCTCAGGTCATGATCTCACCTTTTGTGAGTTCAAGCCCCACATCAGGCTTGCTACTGTCAGCCCTGAACGCTCTTCTGATCCTCTGTCCCACTCGCTCTCTCTCTGTCCTTCCCCCACTTGTGTACATGTTCTCTCTCTCATTCTCAAAAATGAATAAACATTAAATTTTTTTAAACATGTCAATCTCTTGTGTGAGTAAAGTCAAGGTATATGATCAAATTAAAGTCTATAGGGTGGATGCCTTTTCCCCCCAGGGGCACACCTCCATTTTGGTGGAGAAATAACGGCGCAGGTATAGACAACTTGATCGAAATTGGGCTGGTCATTGTACTTTTTCACCCTCAGTTTGTCACATACAGATTGCTGATTCATATGGGGTCTTTCTCTGTGTGAATCAGAAAAAGATTTTGCTTCCTGAAAACACTTTACTTCCATATAAGAAAATTATCATAATATACAGATTTTGTTAGAATAACTTGTTTTAGTGCCACCTACTGGAAAATCATAGGAATAAGTACAATAATGTAAGCCTTTTCTATAAAAATGGCACAACTCTGATAGCAGCTTTGCACCCAACTCAGTCATAGTAATTAGCTCATGTGTCCATATCATATCTAAGCTAGATCTATCAAAGCCCTCTTCTGGCAACTTGCTGTGATGATCTTTTTCTTCTCTAGATACAAAAGTTGTGAAAATGTGAGCCTGGACTTACAGGTGACCACATTTTAACTTTGTGTAGGAAGGAGTTTAAGAGAAAGAATGAACAAAAACAGGGTGGGATACAGGGACAGAAAGAAATAGACCCAATGGTCTTAGAATTTCTGGCTCCAATCCTACTCGAAGATACTTCTATCCTTACTTTGCTTTGGCTATGAAATAATTTCCTTTGTTGAGTTAAACAAAAGTTCAGTTTCTTTCACATGGATAAAAAGTAAAAAAAAAAATTTTTAAAGCCAAGTATATATTGACTTTGGATGTCAAGTAAAATAAACTGACTACAGTTGGGAAAGAGGGCAAGATTAGACACTCTGAGGTAATCTCAGTTTTTATATTAGAGTCATGTGTGCAATTATCTAAAATTGTTCCTGCTAGGACTATGTCTTGCTAAACCTAGTTGTACATTTCCTCCATAGTATAGATTCTTGCCTAGAGTAGCCATTTAAATTTTTTTTGTTGTTGAGTTAAAGTCCATTGACTTTAAAGGCTTCTACTGAAACTTCCAGATCACGTTTTTTTAAACCAATATGCATTTATCTATCAGGGGTAGACATCAAAAGCAGTTGATCAAAAGGACACATTTCTCCAAACAAATGGAGGCCACTCCACAAAATGTATGAGTCAACACAGAGTTCTAGCTCTTAATTTGTATTCCTTAGATATGAAACAGTGATGTACCATTTAACTGCCCAAGGCCTTGGTTTTCTCATCTACAACATAAAGAGATAGAACTAGATAATCTTTAAGGCTTACTCCAGCTAAAAAGAAACCTAAAGTTTTCTTTTAATCTCTCAAACCAATGATTTTCAGAATGTGGCCCCTTTCCAGCAGCCTAGAAACATGTTAAAAGGCAAATTTCAGACCCTACCCCAGACCTACTTGATCAGACACCCTGGGGGTAGGATCTAGTAATCAGTGCTTTAACACACTCCAGTTTGAGAACCACTCCCCAGACTTATGAGCTATATTTATTTAATAGTCAATGTATATATGGAGAAATTTCCCAATTTCTCTCAGCTGTGTTTCACTGACAACATTTTATCTTTCAGACATGGGTGTCCTTCTCCACCACGCTACTCCTCAATCCCCCAGTGAAAACTGTTTTGGTAAGAACAGTGTTGTCATTTTTTTTTTTTGATGTTTTCAAATATCTCTGATGACTTTATTAGACTTTTCAAACAAAAATAAGTTCATGCAAAAGAAAAAGAAAACCAAAAGTCAAACCATTAAAACTGATGTTATATTACGCATATCATCCTTTTTTTGAGAATCAATAAACATTCTTAAGGTAATGAGCATCAATAAGAGCTACTGCCAAGAAAATGGAACAAAGTATTTTTGGGAATATTCTTGATCTCTTTGTGAATTAAAAATTATGTCAGTGTCCTAACATTTTCTACAGGTTAATTAATAGTGATCCATTGGAATAGATTACACGTGTGCACGCGCGCACACACACACGCTCAAGAGTACTGATAAGTGCTTGTAACTAAAAAAACAACCACTAGATGATCTCCTATAATTATCCAATCCTTCTTGCTGCAAAACTCAGAAAATATAGATAAAGAGACAGGAAGATTAAAATGCTGGGTACAGGATCACTTCTGTGAATAAGACTTTTCCTTTTCTATTTAGAAATCTGTAATAGCGTCTAAGTTTATAAGTGATGAGGTTTGAGGATGTACCTATTTGCAGCTGGTACTAGTACATAAATTAATTTATGGACCAATTGATTGTAAATTTTACTATGTGTCACTTTTACTGTGTGGTCCCCATAATTTGGCTTTAAAACATCATATATGAACCTCTGAGAGTCCAGGATAAGCCAAAGGAAAGAATGATTTTTTCCATAATGGTAAAAAAAAAAAAAGTAAAAAACTAAATAGACTTTATGTCTATGTGCTCTTATCATTCTGCTCTCTTCCCCTCATATTTTTAACTCTCTTTGTAAGAATTTCTTCTTTAGGAATATTTTACCCATACCTGCTTAATAACTGGAAGATAGTGGTAGCCACCACTGATAGGGTCCTATCAGGTTTTTAGTTTGAATTTGGAATTCCATTTAAAAATTTCCCCTATTGCTCGACTCCATATTACATTCAAATGCGGATCTAGATAGATGACAGCCTATCTATATCAATTATTTAAGAATAAATGGTGATATGGATATGGATGGTATATTTTAGAGTAATAATTATTATTTGATTTTGAGCCAGAATGCTTTAGTCCATTGATACCAATGCATATCATATCTTTAGTGAAGGATATTCAGAGTAGCATGGATCTATTCGGTTTTTTTAGTGTTTTATTTATTTCTAGGAGAGAGAGAGACAGCGTGAGCAGGGGAGGGTCAGAGAGAGAGGGAGTCACAGACTGAAACAGGCTCCAGGCTCTGAGCTGGCAGTCAGCACAGAGCCCGACGCGGGGCTCGAACCCACGAACCGTGAGATCATGACGCGAGCGAAATTCGTCTGCTTAACCGCTTAACCGACTAAGCCACCCAGGGGCACCGCCTGGATCTATTCTTATAGTGTAAGAGTATTATTTTGTCAGTGGAAAGGAAGACAACCCTTCCTTTCCTCTTCTCCAATATTCTTGCCTAAAATCATATTTTGAGTTTTGCGGGCTTCTGTATTTACTTACCTACAACTGAGAGTCAAAAATTCAAATCTAGAGAAAAAGCATTTTTTCTTTTTTCAATATGGTCTCCTGCCATTTCTGACCATTTGTCTTTTATTCACGTATGAAATAAGGGTATCATTAAAGATCAGAAATTTCCAGGAGAGCTTGTAAACCTGATAAAATTATTTTACCTGTTATATCTTTATAAATAAAAAACCTGCAGAGACAAAGGAACTTAGGAAAAAGAAATCTATTCTCCCTACCTCGGAGACATTGAGCATATTGCTTATTGAGCACTTCTAATTATTTCTTCCTTTTTCTCGTCTCCAATTTTCTTACTGCACACTTGTTCTTTCATTCTTTCCTTGTTTTAATTGTCTCCCGACAGCCCCTGCTGGGACATCCTATCTAAATTTATAATTTATTTCTTCTGGTGTGTCTTTTTTTTCCATATTCATATATGACTTCCAATGATTTTGTCAAGGTAAAGTGTTCAGAATTAAGACAGTTGATGGATTATGGAGGGTTTAAGGAACTCAGAAAGGGAGAATTTCCAAGATTTCCTTCATCTGTAGAGGCTTGTTGGAGCAACCTGGGGTGTGAGAAGCAAGAAACAAGGGCCCTGCTAAGGCAGGACCAAAATGGGAAGCCTATTAAAATAATGATTTGGAGTCCTGTGCACCGAAGACAATAAAGTAAAGCCATCCTGCCAGGTCAGTAGCTAATAGCCCATGGGTTTGTTACTAAGGAAATTAAAACTTTAGCTAATGAGAATGGGAACCACTTACTGAGAATGAGACTGAAGCCTTCCTCTTAGCTCCCCTCCTTGAGTCCTTTTGACAGAACAGTCAGAAAGTTATTTCCTATTTAGTAGCGAAAGACTTGAAATGGAGGTTTAAAAAAAAAATTGATAGGGGAAAAAAAAAGTTGGAAGCAAACTCTTCTTATTCAGCTCTTTCAAGAGGAAAGATCTAGACCCGAGTCCCCCCCCCCCCCCCCGCCCTCTACCCAAAACATACATCAGCATCGGTCATGAAAACAAAAAGGATAGTTGGGGTGGGGTGGGGGGGGAGGAAGAGAGAGAGAGAACCTGTCCCAGATAAGTACAGCTAAGATGACTCAGACAGTCTCCCTGAGGGATTTTTGGTGTGGGGACGTGAAATTATTACATCCGCTATTAGTTTTGTGGACTCAGCAGGATTAGGCCACCTCGTTCAAGAACAGTGGCTGGATTTCATTATTCCAGCGGGTGAGGGGTCTTTATGCACATTTCTCTCTCTCTCTTTACCTGTAGAAGTAGGAACACCTCTGTTTAACTCCTAGGTGAACCAGGGAAATGATTGGAGGCCTTCGGAACATACTTTGGTCATCGATACACACTTAGGGTCGCTTTACTGCCCCTAAATGCAACTCCTGGCCCTACGGGGGATTCTTTCCATTTTGTCCTAAAGTGTGGTGGGGACCCAGGGCTCTGCTGGCGGGAGAGAAGGCAGGCAGGCGGCGAGGGGTGAGAACCACCCCCAGCCGGCTGCGGAGACCGGGGCCTTTCAGGATGACGGCCGGGGCGGGGCAGGGCGCGGACCCGCGTCCCCGCCCGCGGACGCCCAGGTGGCCGGCGACGGCTCCCGGAGCGCCGGGCCGCGGGGACTGCAGCGGACGGCCCGGGGCGCGGCGGCCGGGCGGCCGTCTCCGCGGGCGGGGAGCGAGCGCGTGTGTGCGCGAGAGCGGCGGGCGGCGGCGGGAGGAGGCGCAGGCGCGCTGCTCGCCCGTCTGCAGCCCGGCGCCCAGCGCCGCGTCTCGGGGAGTTGATGGCAGCACCGCGGTGCGGCCGCCCTGCCGAGCGCCACGCGCAGCCACCCGCCGCTGCCCGGGGAGCGTCCAAGATGTGGGGGGCTCGGGGCGGCCGCGGCCGCGCCAGGGATGGGGGCGCGCAGCAGCCTCCGCTCGCCCGCCTGTGCTGACCTGCCTCGCCTGCCCCCAGAGAATGTCAGCCAAGTCCAAGGGGACCCCCTCCTCGCCCTGTCCAGCCGAGGGACCGCCGGCAGCCTCCAAAACCAAGGTGAAGGAACAGATCAAGATCATCGTGGAGGATCTGGAATTAGTCCTGGGCGACCTGAAGGACGTGGCCAAGGAACTTAAGGAGGTGAGAGGCGCGGGGGTGGGGAAGGAGTTCGTCACCTTTCGCCCCGCTCGGGGTTCCGGTCCCGTTTTCAGTGGGGACCGTCAGATTTCTTAACTCCTCGCAAAGTGGTGAAAGACGTCTGCAGACGGACTTTCTTTGCTCCGGCGACTCCTGAAAAGAGTTGCTGCACTTTTTTTTTTTTCTTTTTAATCAGGAAGAAATCAACTAGTGTTTTAATCGATGCACCTGGGATCGTGGGAAGGGCGAACGCGTGCGTGTCTCTGTATCTGTGTGCGTGGAATGTCGGGGAGGGGGGCTCACTGGGGGTGTGTCGACAGAGGAAGCAATGAGCAGCCCGGCCGGAGCGTGCAAAATGCTCCCGTCCTGCCCTCTTGCTCCCCCAGAGTCCTTTGGCAAGTCGCTCCTCGCCTGGCAGCCTCCCCAAGCCGCGGCTGGAGGGGGCTGGGTTCCGGGCCCTGGGCCAGGCCGGGGAGGGCAACCTGGGGGAAGCTCGGCTCTGGCTCCCCTCCCCGCCTCCTGAGCCGCGCTGGGAGGAAGGCGACCGGGGCTGCAGGCAGGGCAGCCCAGACTTGGGGATGGAGAAGGGGGTCTCGGACTTTCTCACTTTCGCGGTTCTTGAAGCATCCTCTGCTCTCTGAACGTCGCTCCCCGTAACTCCGGGCCTTCCCGCCACCCCACCTCCTTCTTTCCTCCCATCTTGTAGCCGCTTGGCTTTGAACGTGGGGAGCTGGGCGCGTCGGTGAGCGTGTGCGCTCGGGTGTGGTGTGCGTGCACCGGGGGTCTTGCCGCTTGGGGTCCGGGCTCTTGCGAACCGGACTGTTTGGGTTCTTTCCCGCTCCCCGTTCACCCTGCCCCTCGGTTCCACTTCTGGCCTCCCACCCGTAACCCCTGTGATCGGGTTTGAAAGCAGCCGGGGAGGTGACGGGGCTGAGTCTGCGTAACTCCGGCGGCTGCTCCAGGCGACGGGGGTGGGGGAGGGGCGGGGTCGCCCGGGAGCCCGGCCCGGCGGCCGAGGCCGAGCCCGCTGTTCCGCTCGCGAAGGACTGCCGGTGCGGTTCTCGGTCAGGGAGTCCGCACCCGCAGGGGTGCGAGAGCTAAGACTAACTTCTAAGGTGGTGGCCTCGGCGGGAAGGGAGGGAGTGGGGCAGACGCGAAGTCCCAAATTGTATTCCTGTTCCTGAGGCCAAGTGGGAGGAGACTGAGGGTTGTTTGGATGTCTGGCCTCCAGAGATTAACCTCCTGCATCCAATTTCCAATCCAAACGTGAGGAAAGAGACCCCTCCCCCACAGCCCAAGTCCCTTTCTCCCCCGATTTCCCATTACCTCTAGGTAATATTCATTTCACCAAATGAAAATCTGTTAAAATGACCCATTCATTGGCAGGGTTCGGTTTGCCGGTGGCACATGCCATTTCTGTAGGTTGTTGCATAGACAGCATAATTACCACTGAGGTCCTGAGAGTGGAGATTGATACAGATGATAGGTGCAAGGATCTAAGTTGTTGCTGTTGGCAGGGCTTTTCTGGGATCATTGCTTCACAACTGGTTGACAGATGGCGAGGTTATGCATTGAAATTCAAGTCTAAAGATGCTGTTCATCTCTTTGTTATTCTTTTATTTGACATCTTTGGCAGGCTGTGTTTTCATCTGAAACATTATGGCGTTTTAAAAAATGAAAAAAAAATGGGCATGTTCCTTTTGGCAGAATTTTGTCTTAGTTGAGGTTTTTACCATGGGGAGTGTGGGAAACCTTTATCAGCAAAGTAATGTGTTTACTGTCTTAGGCAGGGGGCTGGAAGTAACAGATAAAGCAGTCAAAACTCTGCATTTATAGGCACATGCTTCCATGTTAGGATGTGTCACTCCAGGATCTCTTTTAGGCAGAATAAATAAAGAGGAACTGCACATGGTCCTCGTTCTGCTTTGCCTCATTATTCTGTAGGCTTTTGGAGACCAGGTAGATCTACACTAAAACTTTTAACCTCCCTAAGGCTCTTGATTACAATCACAAAGCAGTAAATCAGGAAGTCTCTGCGTCTCTCTTTTCCTCTTTCTGTGTCTTCATTTGTTGGAGGTTTTATAAGGGAAAAAACAAACACAGGTCGTTTATAAGAAGTATGGGAAAACGTAAATAACGTACAACCAAGTAAATGAAAGCATCTGTCTTCTAGACAGAGCCAGAGATAAAATTTTGACTTAATGCTTTGGAATCTTTGATGGGCTGCCAGGGTCTGTTTGTGTAAAAATTTCGCCTTAAGAGTGAAATTAATGAATGATAAGTGATGTAGTGGGATTGTTAATGACTTTTGTGAGACTATCATCTTCCTGGGTTTACTCATGGAATTGTATATGCTAAGGCTGAATCTCAGAGCATTCGCCATTTTTATAGTATGAATGATAGTTATTTTGAGAACAAATATTTATAGGGCATGTTTAACCTATGACATCTTGCAGTTGTTCAGCATTTATCTTTTGAAGATAATACTGGTCATGTGACTGAATATACCTTTGATGTAGGTTTGTATGGAGGAGTAACTGAAAACTTTGTAAAATTGCAAACCTTGTTGGTCTCTAGATCTGTGACTTGTAAATATGAATTTCACTAATTCATCATTTGTTGTATTCACTATTCTGGCAGTTTATCACTGGTATATATTGAATATACACTGTTATATTTAGAAATCAAATTCCTTTATTGGCAGTGCTATGCCTTTAGGCCATACTCTATCATGATATAAATTAGCCAAGGGTTCTTATTGGCTTGGAACAGAAATTAGAAAAAGAAGTGATTATGACTAGATCACTTTATCAGTCACCATATAGTATTTGTTTTTCTTTTCTGTTTTTTCTTTTCTAGAAGACATTATTCTTTTTTGAATATTCCATTTTTTAAAATGCTCAAAACATTAGTTTGGGATGCATTTTTCCTGTCTTTGAACATCACTAGTGTCAAAGGGCATTATTACTGCTTTTCATGGCCACTCTCACTCTGATATAATAGGCTTGAGAATTAAAAGCAGAACTGAGAGTAAGAATTAGTGTATGTAGATTTATACAGTGATATTTGCTATGCACTTAGTAATGTAGCAAGTGTTTGGTGAAGAAAGTCAAAGCTTAAAAAGGATGATAAGATAGGAATTTTAAGGACCTTCCAATTTATTCAGATCCATAGTTAACACAAATGGATCAATGCCATATGCAGGAGATCACCTATCCAGGTCTTAAAACTGGATACATTGAGTTTTTCATGAAGGACTAATCCTTTGGGTGGATGAAGAGTCAAAACAGAAGATTTTAGAGCTTTGAGATGTGGATACAATCTGAAGAAGTAGAGAGGAGAGGAAATTAGCAGGAGATACAATATTAATCCATGATGCTTTTTCTGCACATTGAAAAAAAGAAGAAAATAGTGGTGAAACTACGGAGTTTTAGCAATAACATTAGCCATCATTGGTTTATTAGGTTTGGCCGTATACTTTTTTAATTAAGAAAAATAGAAAAAAGTTACTACTTTTTAAAAATAGTTGTCAAATAATCTGACATCTTTGGGTATCTATTTGCCTGTTCTTTTATGAAGATCTCACTGGTAAATTGTTTCGCATCAAATACTGATGTTAATATGGTATCACAGATCTTGTTGGGTAGGGAGACACTGAAATATCAAATAAAGAACCTTTGATTTGGAAACAAAATTCATTGCTGTTTAGCTATACTCTGATTTAGTTTAGACTGATTATAACTTTGAACTTTTTTTAGTGTTTTCATTTTATAATTTGAAGTAGTAAGACTGCTAATGGGTTGAATATATGCATATATTACTTGTTTAATAAGTCTAATTTATTAAATTTAAATATTTGATAAATATAATTATGTGTGTATATACACATATATAAATATATCTGTAATAAATGTACATATAATTTATTAATTTATTGCTAAGACTTATAAGTAGCTATGTCTGTCATAGAGAACCCAGTTAAGATCAGTTATTCTTTCTGTGCCCTGGAATCATTCAGTGACTGTACTACTTAGGTGGGAAGCTATATTAGTAGTGTGGCTGTGGACTGGAAAGCACCCATGATTTTTCTTATGAGGTCATAAATAGAAATAAATTAACCTTAAGTTTAATTTTGAAAAGTTTGAAAACCCTTTGGAAGTGATCCATTTGGGGACTGATGAAAACAGAATTGACAGAGTTAACAATTACCTGCAAAATTTTTTTTTTTAGGGACACCTGGGTGGCTTAGTTAGTTAAGCTCCCCACTTCAGCTTAGGTCATGATATCACGGTCCATGGGTTCGACCCTTGCGTCGGGCTCTGTGCTGACAGCTCAGAGCCTGGAGCCAGCCTCAGATTCTGTATCTCCTTCTCTCTTTCCACCCCTCTCCTGCTTGCACTCTGTCTCTCTGTGTCTCTCAAAAATAAATAAACATTAAAAAAATTAAGAAAGATTATTTTTATTCTTAAATGTTTTCTTTTCAGATGGCTTATTCACAGTGAGTTCTGTAGTTTATTGCTCTAGGAAATCCTACCAAATATTTTTTGGTTAACAAGTCCATGCATATAAAATTCATTACTAGAACAAATTATAGAGACTGATCTCTGCAATATTTTCCAAGTTCTAAAGTTATGAATGAATGAAATTTCACAGTTCAGGGGCCCCTGGGTGGCTCAGTTGGTTAAGTGTCCGACTCCAGCTCAGGTCATGATCTCACGGTTCATGGGTTCGAGCCCCGCCTTGGGCTCTGTGCTGACAGCCAGCTCGGAGCCTGGAGCCTGTTTCAGATTCTGTATCTCCCTCTCTCTCTGACCCTCCCCTGCTCACGCTATCTGTCCCTCTCTCAGAAATAAATAAAACATTTTAAAAAATTAAAAAAGAAGAAATTTCACAGTTCAATTGTAGCAAATAGCTCTACTTTTACTACACTCTGTTAACAGTTTGACTCCTTAAACTCAAGTATATTTACAAAATACTAAAATGTTTTTTTTCATTTTTCTTGT